AAGGAGGAATTTTAAGCACCAGCTCCTTCCCCTTTTGGGTGTCCCTCCTGTTGCCAGACAAAGAGATGGATGGAGAAAAGAGGGGAGGAGACACTGATAGAAAGCAGGAGCCTCTTCAGTGACAGGTGCTCTGTCGGCGATCCGACCGGAGCTTCCTGCCTTTCATACGTCCTCTTCCTCCCTCTGTCTCTCACCCACCCACACACACCTTCCTCTCCTCTCATCTCCTTTTCATCCTCTTTTATTCACCCCCACCCCCCGGTCTTCATATTCCTCCTCCTCTCACCGCTGCCTCTCATCATTACCCCTTCCACCCTCTCTCATCTGCTCCTCATCTCTTCACTAAATAAATATATAAAATAAGATGCCAGTTATAGGCCAGGGCCCTCCCTGTTGGACTGGGAAACCCCTTTGCTGGTCCCTGATAAACACTGTAGGAAACCCCATCTGCCACAAAGTATTTTGTATTTTGAGTTCAGAGCCTCGAGGAAATAATGCCTTTACAAAAAAAAAAAAAGGTTTCTGCTGTTAGACTTTACATGTCTTATTTGTGACATTTAGGGCGATTCTGATGTTTCTTGAGATCAAAGGTCCAGTTAAGAAGCACAGTTCTCAGCTCTGGGAGAGTCTTAAGACAAAAACAGAGCCGCTCAGAGAATCATGCTGGTGGTCCTGTATATTTTAACCCATTACAAATAATTTATGGCCCTATGCTTAACCATTTTCCAAAGCATACATTACTTTTTTATACAAGTTATTTTGTTCCCTTCCCTCAAATCTGTTCATTTTCTTAGGGTACTCAAATGAACTGAAAATTGCTCCTATGCTTTGAAAAATGGAAATTATTTAGTTAATGGGAAAAATATGCACCAGTAATGGATCTTTTAAGATGTTGTGCCTTGTTCATAAAGGTATCCCCTGAACTTTGGTGTTCCTGGATTCTCCAGTGAAACCAAACTGTTTCCTTAGCTGCTAGAATGCGTAATGCTGAATGTTAAGAATGAGCCTTTAAGAAAAAAACTCAGAACTTCAGCTGTGCATACCAGACTCTTTTTCCCTCAATGTCACAAGAACAAAAGCTTTTAATTCATCTCCCTAATCATACATCCACATATGAATACAAACACACACACAAAAAAAATCATGTACTATATGTTATTAGGTATCAGACTTACAATGAACTCCACAGACAATTATTCAGGACAGCAAAAGTAAAAAAAAAAGAAAAGAAAAAGCGTATCAAAAGCAATGTTTAAATTGATTTCCTGAGCTACAAAGACCAACTATTACAACATTTCAAAGTAAATAATGATTATCACACAAAAATTGCATTTTTGTAGTTTGGTTTTGGAAGTGGATCAAAGAAGTTTTTAGAGGCAATATTTTCTTAGATTTCCATCCTCTGATGTTTTCACAGATACTCCAAACTGTAGCTGGGTTTGATGAGACAGGATATTTAAAGATCGTTTTAAAAACATCAGGAACCCCCCAGTGTTGCTCCTTGTGTTAATAAACAAGGAAACAATAAAACTCAAACGTGTATTGATTTAACATTTAAAATCCAAACTAAAAAAAATAAGTAATGGAAAAAGAGAATTCAATAACAACAAGTCGTCCTTACGTTCAATCAGTGTATGTCTGAGTTCTGATGTTCACCCCCACACACACACACATACATACAGAGCACAACCTTTTCTGTTTTTAGGCTTGTCCACAGTTCTCCTTGTAGCAGTTTGTTAGAAGTCTTACAATACTGTTCTTACAATTCATTCAAGGAAAGAAACAATAGCAATGACTTTTTTAGGCTATCACACCCAAGCTTCATGTCAAATCCTTCATTACATCCCAGTCTGAGACGAGTTTTGTAGTGCTTCTGCCTCTGAACGGGCTCAGCTCTACACTCAGTGCTAGACATCCAAAGGCACAAAGTCCGTCCATGTTCGCTTTTATACCCGGGTGCTCATGTACGCACTCAATAAACAGACAGATACACACACATACACACATGGTTTCAAAGTAAACAAACGTTTCTGTTTTTTGAAGATTGTCAGCACCTATCTCTGTAGCACTTTGAAGTGATGCAATACTGTATTTATAATTTATAGGTAATTTGTACATCATGATTATGGTAGACTGGCTAAACTTTGCAGTATGTGATTTTATCGATGTTAAGCGAGAGACAGAGAGTGTGCTAGAAAAGAGAGCAAATCAGTAAAAAACGCAATACTTTCTACACATTGTGTGGTACCTGTCTGTCTGTCTCTCTGTGTAGGTCCATCTGTCTTGAGTGTCTCTGTCTAGTCAATGCTGTTTACCCATCATGGCAATATCAATACTTCACTTGGACATTTATATATAGAAAAAACAACTTTCCCTCAATTTTATTGTGGAATGAATGATTCGTGCATTTATTTATTACTGAAGAGCCACTGTTGAATAAACAATGTTCTTAATGAAGTTGTTTGCTTACTTTATTTGCACGGTGTGAAAACCAATAAATATACTTTGATAATAGGCGATCATATCATAGGGAATAGTAATTGAATACTTATTAAATTGAATTAAAACGCTGTATTTAATGCACATATGACCAAAGGGGGTTAGTAAGAAACAAATAAATTGACGACAAAGAAATAGGGCCGAATAAAGCACATGGTCATTTTTTACTTGAAAACTTCATTAGCTATGAAAAAGCAGAGTAAAGCTGGTGTGGGGTTCCCTGCCGTACCTCCACACACACACGTTGGTGTTTTTCCAAAATTGCTGTAATATAAATCAGATCAATATATTAATGTACCAAATGGGAAATCAAAGGACAGCATGTGTTTTCGTCTTTGCATTTCATAGAAAGTAATGTTAGCCTACAGCGCCCTCTGGAGGTGAGAGTATATATTGTTTTCCTACATAACATTTCAGAGAACATGAACAAAGCACTACACAGCTACAGATATATGAACGATTGTGATTAAGCAACTTAAGCTGCAGATATTTGCAGATATTATTGATATTTATTGTATTATAAATGCATTTCATTGTACATTTACATTTAAAAAATATCTATAAAACAACACTCTATGTCCCACAACTTAGTGCAGCTTAACATTAACATAAGGCAAAGTTTTGTAAACGTTGCCAATGCAGCAGGAGGTAGATTAAGTAAGTTTTGTTGTAGGCTTTATTCCTTAAGAAGTGCCATAAACTCTTTTATCTTGTCATGCATCTTGTGCACACAATGCAAAATGAAAAGTGTAGTCAATTGATTTCTGTCAAAGGATGTACAACTAGACAATAACGGGACAAATCTTAACATTTGTTTCTGTATTTTATAACAGCTTGCTCCAGTGTGACCCTACAGATTTCGAATGACACCACCTCCTGTGATTAGATGGATTAAAAAGCAGGTTGATTGTCTCTCATGTACAGGCTTTTTCCCCTGGTTATTTATTTTTTAGAAGAGGGACAGTGTACATTAACATTCAGACCGTTGTAAATGTAGTTAAGTTAGCCAGAAGGCTTATTTTCATCAGCAATTCCTTTGCCAGATGTTCTTTGGCGTCATAGAATAAAACATACATTCAGTAGTTTAGAAAATAACAGATATAAACAATACAATTTGGGTAACGAGAACCAATAATATCCAACAGGACATGATACAAGTACCATTGGTAGGTATATCATCAGTGTTGACACTAGCCCTGTTTCAACCGGAGGAACTTTACCCCTGAACTATGGTCTTTGAGAAGACTCAAGCGTTTCCGCCAAATCTGCCAGGGTAGAAATGTAGTTCTGGGGTAAAAGATCTCCCCCTAAATAAGACCCTGCTAGGGGTTATGTACTTTCTGAAGGTCCAGGGACTTTTGACAACAGGGCATGCAGCCCCCTGCAGTGCTGAATGTCTCTGATTGTTCAGGCACAGCAGGGTTTTAGATCACCCACTGTGTTTAAAAGACTGCAGCTGAAGCCCATTGTTTATCCCCATCTTCAATCGTTTTTTCTCAATAAACCATTTAACATTATAATTAAATGAATGGTAGATGTTGACTCCTTTATTGATTGTGGTATTCATTTCCACGGATGTGATGCTCTGAAGGAAGAGACACCCTGGCCAAATGTGTTTTTTTCTGAGTGGGATGGTGCACTCCCCCTCGCTGCACCTGCGAAGGGGGGGAGCTAAACCAAGAAGAATTCTATAAACTAGGTAGATATTTTTGTATCTGATAAGGGTTTCCCAACAAAACAGACTGTATTTCTTTAGAATATAACAATGATGAAAACTGAACCGTTGTTAGTCTAAAGTTTTGAGTGCTCGTTTATATCATGATTCCAGTGGTTTTAGAGCTGTAGAGTGTGTCTTCGACTAACATAACAGACAATACGTGATATGAGAGAGATTCATTGAGGGGAAGTATATTTTAGCTGCATCAGATGATATGGAGTTTCTGATAAATCCAAAATTTGCCAAACGTCACTTTTCTTCAGACTTTTTGGATGTGGTCTTTGAAGCCAATGTGAACTTCTTCGTATTTGTATTCTGGCAAAACTTGTAATCTTTGTCCTGAGATAAGAATTTCTTGCTTAACATCGACACTGTGGCCTTTAGTGAAGAACCTACAGACTGTTTTTGATACATTTCATTCTAGATAGTTTCGGTAAAGGCAGGATGCAACCTTTCACGATTTCCTTAGTTTAAGTACGACGTCTTTGGAAGTTCTACCATGAGTAAAAACAACTGTATCATCAAAAATATCACACTGTTTACATATAGATGGCAGATCATTCATTTATATGCAGTATAGGGCCCTTCTAGCCATTATGGGCTGTACTTTGCTTTGCATTAGATTTGTAATTTGTTCTATTGGGAAGTGTTTCAAGTATTCTGGGTATTGTTGTGGACATATCCTGAAAAATAATGTTATTTTAATGATTACAAATCCTACAATGTTAGAGAAGTAATGATGATACCAAACAACTGACCAAAGAATATGACTCAGACAAAAAGACTCTGTTAATTTCTTTTATTAAGTATTTTCTTCTGTACAAGAAAGAGCATTTGTTCCACATATTAGCTGATTGGCAGCTCTGTACAACCGACTGTACAACAGGAGTTCAAACTTTACTGAGAGGAAATGTGATCATCAAACGTGTGGCTTTTGTAGAAGGCAGATCAGAAGGTGAATCATGGATCGAATGATTGACCACACAAGCACGCGTGCACACACACACACCTCTCAAAACTATTTACAACACGATGGCTGACTGGCCCCTTGTCACAAATAAATAGAGACAAACCAGCTCCAACACAGTTCAGATAGTTATCACATAAAAAAAAAAAGCCTTTGAAAAGTTTTTCAAAGGAAAACAAAAAAAAAAGGAAAAGAACTTAAAATGATCCATTAAAAACCTGTTAAAAGGCCCATCTGGAGTTAGTTTATGTACAGTCCTATTTAAAACAGCACCCACAGCTCTCTGGTATTAAATCTTAGTGTTGTGACCTTATTTGAGGTCGACACCATAAACTCCACCTGCTCAGTATGCAGAGAGACAACAGTGACACCACCATCTCATCTGAAACCTTTGTTCCACAACTGACTCTGAAGGTGTGAAAAACACGACTTAGAGATCAACTCTTTAACATTATTTGGGGGCCTTTGGGGAGTGTTATTGTAGAGCTACCATAAACCATCGCTTCCGGCACCCCTCACCTCTCTAAATGTGATGAGTGGTTTGTAATTAGGAGTTTGGTGAAATGTCGGATTTAAAAAAAAATTCTTAAGAGATTAAAAAACAAACAATTTATCTAGCCAATTTAATTATATATATTTTTTAAAACAAGTAATACATGGGTCAATATTATGTTAACAGTGTATCAGTGATGCAACTGTTTAACATATTCCCAATTCAAATGTAATATAACGCTTTGTTTAAGTTTGGCTTTAGTCATCAACTGTTGTTTCATGTACTTATTTATATAAAGGATCAGTCAGTCTACTCCATCTCATTTCCCTGCAAATCATTATTTTATAATGTGCTGAAATGTGCTGCTACTGAAATATCGTATCATTCATTGCTGTTGGGATGAACTTCAGCTGAAATCTGAGTTTGACTAACAAACACTCCAGTGTGAACAAAGCCGGGACAAAAACAAAAGATAAACCCATCACATTAAAATGTAATGGATACAGACCAACCCTCTCTCTCTTCTGCTGTTGTCTGATTTTTAGTTATCACACAAGAGTTTCTAAGTGATTTGAAGACCAAAAAGTTTCATTCCAAAATGTTCAAGGAGTCCATTAACCTCCAGCACTGCTGGACCCACGTGTAGTCCCGTGTTGTACAGCTTAAATAAAAATAATAACCGTAAATAAATAAACAAAAGAAAAACGTGGTCAGAATAAAAACTAAAAACAGTTTTAGCTAACAGTAAGTAGTGTGAGTAGAACAGTAATCTTGTTCTGAGGTTTGTATGACATGTTAGTTTGTTACGGTCAAAGGTCAAGAATTGGTCTGCAGAATTCTGGTTTCTAAAAATGTCCTCATAAAGTCTGTGACCAGTCTGCTGCATGGCCTGATAAAATTCACTTTGAACATTTGCTATGTTGGAGTTGTGAAAACCCAGAAATATAAAAAAACATGACCCAAAACAACGGCAACAAAAATTTGCAAAGAATAAAAAACAAAATGGAGAATGCCTCAAAGAAATACACATACATAGTACATTGCAGAATGAATCCCAACATAACTTGCTCCATGAGTAACAGTACAGCTGTAATCCACAGCAAAATACAGTGGAATGATTTTCTTTCACCACTAGGTGGCAGCAACAGTTCTAGATAAAGAGGAAATGGTGCATCAGGCACATGTAAACAACAGAAAAAGGAGAACTGTAAGAGCCTTTGAATGACTTTAAAAAAACAAAATAGAAAGATGTTCCAGATGTAAAGGTAAAGACTGTGACACGACTACTGAGAATAATGCCCAAAGTCAATATTTGTCTTTTAGTTATTCCTGTGGTAACTTCTCACTTCTCTTACCCAGAAAGGAAAAACTGGCAGGTGAGCACCTTATCCAGAGAGAACTCATTTCAATGCATTTTGTGTATCCATCTGTTTGGGTCCTTTTGTCATAAAGGACTTACACACAGAGCTTTGTGTGTGTAGCTCAAGGACATCACATGATACCATTCCTATTGTTCTGTTATGTAGTTTGAGTTGCCACATGAAGCTTTAGAGGGATCTGCTGAACAAATTGATCAGAAAAGCTTGTGTAAAGTGTGTGCTACGAGTGTAAAAAGAACAGTGTCAAAGTCTTGTGGTCCTCCTGGTTCAAATAAATACTAAATTAAGATTTTTCCTTTCATGCTCACTGAGCTGAAATGCACAGCACACATCATTTCAGAGCCAATTAAAAGCCTTCCAAATCTTCTGCATGAACAATTTGAAAATGACTCTTAAGATATAAAACAAAGGCTGAAAGAGTAGTAAAGGTTGATGTCATGTTGTCAGATTCATTCAGGCACATACAGGTTAGCAGTTGCTGGTGAAAACATGACAAGCTGTAACATAAGATGTGCCAGACTTCTGCTCTCTCAGCATGACGAGTGTTGCTCCTAAAAGTGGCCTTGGGATGTTCGTTTGTCGCGGTTGACGATGCACAATTTGAAAATAGGACACGATATCTAAACTTCGATATGGAGTTGCTGCTTTGCTTGTTGCAAACTTAGCTGTGCCCCGACCGTGGACTGGAAACCCTCTTCTGAATAAATCTGTGATGTACATGTTTTCTTCTACTGTGTGGATTTGAAGCTCTGCTGGGCTCCCTTGCTGGAGGATGGAAATGAACTGCTGGATTGTGGTCCCCTGTATTTTTTCTCCTGGGTATTTGTGCGCTATAATCTGGTTTGACTTTTCCTTCCGTCACGCTCGTTTCAGAATTTCGTCTTTGTTTACAGCAGAAAAGATGTGAGGGAACACAGGGAGAAGTGTCTTGTTGACATTGAGCCTCAGTGGCGAAAACATGACAAGCTGTAACATAAAATGTGCAGGATTTTTGTTCTCTCAGCACCAGGACTGCTTCTTTCTGAGAGTGGCCTTGGGTTGTTGTTTTGTTGCGGTTGTTAATGCACAAAGCGGAAATAGGACACGATATCTAAACACCACATTAAAACAGGGGATAGACTACAGTGGAGGAATATAGAGTAGCAGTGGAAAGGTACAAAATCAGAGATGTTTGTTTTTGCCTTGCCTGTTCTATCTGCTGTTTGTAATCTCTCCAATCAGAGGCCTGCGCATTGAAAAAGTGCTGACTCAAGAAATGTTGATTCAAATATCGTTTTCAGCTGGGTTCAATTATTTCAAAACAATCGGACAACTTTTACCTGTTGTCTGCTCTGCACTGTATCTGTGTCATAGACTGACACTAAAAGCCACTGTCTCCTCTTCTCCGTTGCTTCTTCTGTTTGAACACATTCCACGTCTCATTTCTGAGGGTCGTCTGTCTGAGGGGTCGACTCTTCGATCCTGCCCAGCTCAGGTCCAGCTCCGGACTCTTAAGTTTAGGGTCTGAGCTTTGAAATGCCAACTCGTGTAGTTCTAGTCCTCCTAGAGACAGGCTCTAGTTCTTTGCAGTCTGGCCTTCTTTACATCCGGCTGTGATTTCTAGGACTTCTGCTCTGGGCTGGCAGCAGGCGTGGCCAGACTCTCCGGCTTCACTATCTGGTAGGTGATCAAGTATTCTGGGTACGCCTGGGGACAAAGAACACATTATTCCCAAGCTAAAGTGATTTTTTTTTTTACCACTGATTAACTCATTAGTACATTTATGTATATTTATCTTAATCAAATAGAAAATGGATAACGAATATGATTAATTCATGGTTTGTCTTTAATTAATCCTGGAATAAAAAAATGTGAATTAATTAAAATCAGTATTAATCCACCTATTTAGATGGTGTTTTACACAAATCAAAAGGTAGTAGTAATGAGAAAAACTGTGTGTGTGTGTGTGTGTGTGTGTGTGTGTGTGTGTGTGTGTGTGTGTGTGTGTGTGTGTGTGTGTGTGTGTGTGTAAACCGACCTGCTCCCCTCTGTAGATGACGTACTCAGCGTAGGCTAGTCCGTTGACACTGGGTCGTCCTATGACAGAGTGGTGTCCTGGGGGGGCATGGGCCATTTTCATTGCACTGAACTGAAGAAATGACTTCCCCAGCGTCACTCTGCAAAACAGCATCTGCCTGAAATGCAAAGTAGGAGAACTCAGACCCCAATAAAGGAGACAGCTCAGAGACAGCACGGGGCAGCTCTGTCAGTAACAGACTGCTGTATGAGTCTGAAAAGTCCTTTCACTCTGCTGCTTTCAAGTTTTACAAAACACACAGATCCCTGGAGATCACACTCATCTGAAATAAATGTAATATTTGCAATGTGTTGGGTGCTGGTTGAGCTCAGCTGTACAGAGGCTACAGTCCTCATCGCACTGGATGCGGTTCGAGTTCCGGCCCTGTTGTTATTTGGTGCATGTCATCCCACACTCTCTCTCTCCATATTGTCTGTCTCTCTCAGGCTGTCCAATAAATTCAAAGCAAAAAGACTAAAATAAATCTAAAAAAAAAAGATTTGCAATGTAAATGTAATGTAAATAATGTAAAGTTAAATGCTCAGTCTGTTCACTTTCTCGTTCTTCTGTTATGCTTTCACCCTGGCTGCTGTAACCACTTTACAGTTTCCTGCTGCGTGACTAAAAGGATTTTCTTGTTCTCCTGCAATAACACAACAGTCTATCTACTTCGCTGATAAAATGCTAATCCATGTTCTCTCTACCTCAAATTCTGAACTACAAAACTACAGGGGCCTTGAGAGGGTGCAGACTTCCACCAAGGTCAATAATCCAGTTTTGTATCCATAAGCTCTTGACACCGTGGCATGTCTGTGTATTTGTCCAAATCCATAATAAATGATTTGGGTCAATATTTTGCCTGTTCATGAGTCAGATTCTCAGCCTGTCAAAACATGAATTCTTTTGCCCCAACAATAAAACTTCCACTTGTGTTTTCAAAGCATTAGGGGCATAAGTTGAAAAGATTATAAATATTTTTACAATAATTATTTGGAGTTTTCTTCAGTGTATGTAAAGTAGGCTAAATTTTTTACCAGACATGAAGCTGCCTAAATACAAATCTTTATTTTATAGTATACAATAGTCCATAAGACTCTCATTTAAAAAAGTGGATATACAGTTGCACCTTGAGTGAAAAGTTATTCTGTCATTTGAATCAATAATTATAATAAAAATAGAAAATAAAGTTGTAGTTTGTGGAATTGGGACACTTTCTTTTTCCTTCCATGTAGAAAGAACTTATTTCTTAATGAACAAACAGGAGAAGTCAAATGTCCCCATGCTGGAGCAAAACTACGTCATCTTAATTTATAAGACATTTCACCTGTGGCACACGTAGCAGGAGCGGTCTTTGTGGGTGGGACATCCCGTCCCTCCACCAATCCCGTACACGTACTGGTTGCTTTTGGAGGAGTTCTCAGCGAAGTAGATGCCAGCGCCAAACATGCCACCGATGTAAGCATGTCGCTCGTCGAAGCCCTTGTGGATGATGGCATTGATGAAGGGAGAACCTACAAGAGAAAATATTAAAAAGTGTAAGGGACACATTCATAAGAGCTGCTCAGATCTCTACTGCAGGGAGAGGGACACTTCCCCTTTCAACATACACAGTATCTCTTTTATTAGTACCTGCAGAAGATGCCAACACATTCTTTTATTTTAGATTCAAAACATGAAGTGTTATTGTGCTGTCAGCATTAAATGGACTGAAATGAATACATTTTTGTTATTTTGTCCCTTGAGGGGCATCGTGGATAAGCTCTTTGCATTGTCTCCCTGTTGTCACAGTGATGGAAAAAAAAAAAACGACACTGCTGCATCCTTGAATGTCTCATTTCACGTTTAAACAACGTCTAAACAGCTCAGACTACGAGACATAAGTAAGATCCACCTCATGGCATCAAACATTTCACTATTTGTCTGTTTTCATTTAGTTTTTAATCCATAACGACTTTCTCTTTCCTTGATTTAGTTAATGTCTTCAATCTTTTAGAAGGTCCTTACTTCAATAAAGTACATAAAGTACATAAAGTACTCTAAGCCTAAGACAGTACAAAAAAGTTAAATTTGAAATAATGGAATTTCAAACATTTGATTAAAAATGTGATTTGATGCCATTACCTATGGAAATGTAGTGATTAATCACGATTACAGCCCTAATTATTTCCTTCCTCACCTAAATATTAATGGTAAATGGGCTTTTCTACTCTTCTGACTACTCAGCGCTTTAACACCGCATGTCACACCTTCACACACTGATGGCTGAGGTTAATGTGTAAAGTGACCATCAGAAGTAACTAATCCCATTCATACTGGAGCAACATGGGGTTAAGAGTCTTACCCAAGGACACATCGGACATGTGGCTGAAGGAGTAGGGGATTGAACCCCAACCTTCCGGTCAAGAGACGACCGACTCTACCAAATATAAGTAACTAAAGAGTTTCAGAGAAAAAAGGCAATGAGTACACCTCTCCTTTTATAAACAGCCATAACAGCTCTCTTCTTCAGACAGGGAATCAGAAATAAATAAAGCCCCAAAAGCAGACAGCGTAGAAACAGTTTGAATAAGTGTTATCCTGGGAAATCCATGATCTAAGAGGCTTTGAACACAGAATGATCGCTGTGCCAGACGCATCATTTCAAGCATCACAAAAGCCAAAGACTTCCTGGGATTTTCTAGTCGGCACTGTTTAAAGAAACAGCAGACGGCTGCAGTCCTGAGGGTTGTGTCCTGACTAAACTGTGTGGTTGAGAGGCGACATGGAAGATTAATGAGAATTGTTCAAGCTCACAGTCAGGCTGCAAGTATGAAAGCAGTGCAGTACAAAGCGGAGTTAATCTCAGAGTGCACAACAAACGGTTGAACCTGACAGCAGAGGTCCAAGTCAACTAACAGGAAGTGACTACAGGGGAGTTTTTCACAAAGCTTAATTCAAATGAGAAGGGAATGATTGTTGTCTTAATGTGAATAATGACACAGCATGTCACCCTCTAACTATCATTATCATTTGAATGAACATATCATTTGTTTTTGTCTTCTCTATGCTGGATGATGAAAAACAACATTCATATATAAAGGAACTATACACAGACAACTAAACTCACAAACTGCCAAAAAAAAACATGTGCCTGTGATGTTATTGATCATTTGATTGTACTGTAAAATATTATCTGTTTATCTATAAGAAAAAGTGACTAAAAATGCACTTGTTTCTATTTCTTTTTCTGCTCTTACCTTCTTATTGCTGTTATCTTTTTATTTGCTTTTAGCTCTTTTAGTTTCTTACATCTTTTTAAATCTTTGGTCCTCTTGGTCTCAGCTCGTGTTGTTAGGTTCTTGTGTCGCCTGGGTTCTTATGATGGTTCTTATGATGGTTGGGTTATATATGTCTGTTGGGTATGTTGCTATATGGGTTCTTTTCTGTTGAATTGACTTTTATTATTTGGAGTATTTTGCATTTGTTATATTCTTGCTGCTGTTTATGTTCTTCTGTATTTGGTTTAGTTTGCTCGGTTTTTGTTTTTGCCTTTTTCTGTTTGTCGAAGCACTTTGTAAACCTGTGTTTTTAAAGGTGCTATATAAATAAAGTTATTATTATTATTAAAAATGAAAAGGGAAAGTATCCCCATGTTTTGAGTGAGTCCTGTGACGTGCACCTTCACCTTGTTAAGAACAAGATTGTGCAGAAAAAACAAAAACACAGCCGTTAATAGAAGCTATGACATGGTTCAGCTATGATCTGCTTTCAATATTTACAGAAACAGATGTCATTATCTGATGCTTCCGAGGAAAGGGCATCCCAATTCATTTCAGTTCTCTTCAAACATCCATGTTGAGAGGGACTAAGACGCAAAAATGTAAATGATTTGAGAACACATTGACAGATTCAAAATCTCATACAATAAACATTTTCTGTGTCATTTAAGTTTCAGTTTTTCACATTTTCCTCCAATTCCAAACACCACAAGCCAGTTACAGCAGAGACATGACAGTAAATATGTGTTGAGTGAATCAAATAATGCCAATTTACATCGATTAGATTTCAATTTACCATGGAAGAGCATTCGCTCGTTGTGATGGTTATGATTCTCATCTGCAATTTCCTTTTGTCTGTGCGCATATCTCTCTCGTAGCTTCTTATTCACCACCTTCTGAATCTGTGGAGTCACAGGGAGGAGGAGAAAGAATTAAATAAAAGAATCAGTCAAATGTGCTGTGTATTACAAAAACTCACTTATTTGCAAAAGTCTACTCACTGTAAATTAATGATATTCCTTATTTCTGTTGATAAATTGAGATATATGGAGACACACCTTAATGATATTGTAGCGGCTGAAGACTCCTCCTGCGTTGCCTCCATCACGGTGTTCTCTGATAGTGCTCTGCAGCTGAAAAGGAAGGAACATAAAGAGACAGGGGACACTCTGAATTACACATTCAAAAAACATTAAGCCTCAAATATGTTGATAATGTGAGTGATATCATGAAATGCTTCCTGCTGTCCCTCTGGACAGCACTACCAAGAAGAGACTCAGTGATGAGTCTTTATTCATTTTAACAACCCAGTTGTAATTTAATTTTCAGAACAATAACAAATAACACTACTTGTCATTGTTTCTCACTTTCATTTTATTAATTCTGAAAATGTTGATTTCTAGTGTTTTAGCTCTTAAAAATATATTAAATTTCAGCGTTAAAGGTGCACTATGTAGTTTTGGTGGAGAAATTTGAAATTTGGGGACGTGTACAGATTCTGGGGTATATGTTCATAACTCTTTACACAAACTGTCCTCAGAGGGAAATTTGATCCCTGTATCATTGTTTGAAGATAAAATGCTAAGTGAGAAGTTATGGTGGTGGGCCCGCAACAGTGAAACCGTAACTCTCCTGGTAGCTTTCTAGCTCCAAAGAGTGTTCCAGGGATTCATTTTTTCCTTTGAATAAAGTTTGTGTATTTAGTTCAGAAAATATAGCATAGAATTGTTTCACTTCTCCAACTTTCAAATTTCACTACCAAAACTCCATAGTGCACCTTTAAAGAAGTAAGGATTTATGGCAGGACTCTTTGTTTAAGTTTAAGTTAGGTTTACTCAAACTGACAACTGAGTGGCCCTGTTTACACTCCATATTTAAGGCATTCCTGAGTGATCAGATGAAAACTGGATAGGCCTTTCACACCAGTTGTTAGAATAATCTTAATGTGTCTGCAGTGACCACTTGTGAATAGATACCACGCACACGCTTTATCATCAATAAATCTGAAGTCTTCATGAACTTCAAAAAAATGCAAACTCACAGTACAGAGAGAGAGAGAGAGAGAGAGAAAGAAAGAGAGAAAAAGAGAGAGAAGGGGGGAGGGGAGGGTGTGGTTGTGGAAAACCGAGAGAAAAGGGGCGGAGTATGAATATGGATAGATATGTTGAGATAAAGAACTTTTAAAATGTAACCTTCAGTTTTGGCTCTTATCTGATAAGTGCATAAACTTCACTGAAGTCTGGAGTCTCTATTAACCCTGACAAACAGACACATTGATCCGTCTGATCTACGCTTGTCTCCACTGTGAAATATGTGTATCCTCGCTCTTCTGCATTATGTATGTAAAAACTGATCGCACATCTCATCCTTCTAGGCACCACCTTGGCCTTTTCTCTTGCCCTTGTATGAGATCGTCCCGTATTGAAAAACACACAGGCCCTTCCTGAATCAACACT